GGACCCTTCTTCAGAAAAGAGTCCAGACCTGAAACGTCAGCTTTCCTGCTCCTCTGATGCTGCTTGGCCTGCTGTGTTCATCCAGCTGTACACCTTGTTATCTCAGATTCTCCAGCATCGGCAGTTCCTACTATCTCTGAATTGATCTGAACCCAATTTCCTCTCCGATATTCAATTCTGTACCAAGACGATTACTTACAATTTCTGGGTAATACCCTTCCACTCCATGTCTCCCATGCTGCCAAAACACATTTATGGCTATTCTTGCCAGCCTTCAGTCTGACTAAATTAAAAACCATTTAGGATGTCATGAGCCACGTAGTCAACAAAGAAAAGTCTTATTTTTCCAATATCAAGACGTGCCTAACTTCATCAGTTCTTGATGTCCCAGTTATTTATTTCAGGATTCCTGGTCTTCAAGTGCAAGCTCCCCCCATGCCTTTGTCTCACTTTTTTCAGTGATCTCTTACAACTGTACATCCACCCATTACTCCATTGATACTAATTTCCTTTTTGCTCCTATGACCTGGTCTTTGTATTTTGGAATTTACTTCTTCAAATGCTCCTTTATATTTCCATTAGACCTCTAATTTTTCAGCTTCATATTAATCACCATCCATCATTTTCCAAATATACAAAACACTTTGAAATATCTTTCTATAAGTGGTGAATAAGATTTAAAGTTTTCTTGCTGTTGTACAAGCTCAAGAATCTTAAAGCAGTTCTCTGATGGAATGCAGTAAAATTGCTAATTAATTCAAACATATTTCTGCTGATGATCATTGTCTGCCCAAGATATGAAAGATTGAGGGCTGATTTAAATGAAGTATTTAAGAGCTTGGAAGGAATTGATAGGATTGATAAGGGCTCTGTGGGGAAATAGGATGATATGGAAGCTGGAAGATTTTGAGGAAAAGAAGGCCGAATGTTTTCATGTAAAGCTGGGAGAAGCAGGAATGGTCCTCTTTTCCTCAAAAAAATAGCAAAACACTTACCATGAATGATCTTTTCTGTTTCCCGTCCTCTTCACTTGACTTACTGAGTGGTAATTCTGTTCCAGCTTCTCCAGCCAAGGTTAGAGTTGCAAATGTAGTCTGGACCTAATGATTCCTTCGCACTAATATCTGTATACTTAAAGAAGAACTCAATCAGCTTTGAATAGGTCCTTTACCACCTGTTCAGAATAGTCAGTCGAAATTGAAGGCAATGGGATTTAGACGATATATGGGCAGATGTCATTTGGTTAAAACCCAGTTTGCACTGGGTGGCAGGACCAAGCAAAAAGGCTTAAAACCACTCCCTATATTCTGCACTGCAGCTTAACCACATAATATATGATTCAAGAGCATAAGTATAACTGACTAAGCAAAATGCACACAAGTTACCAACTTAATTACTTGTCTACTTTTAGCAAAATTGCTATATTTGAAAATGTTCATGAAAATTACAATGAGTCGACTGAAAGTTTAACATGTCCTGTTTTAAATAACACACTTTGTATTTAAGTGACCTTGTTTCCTGTTAGCTTTATTAGTATCTTTATTTTAACCTGAAGACAGGTTTCAATGGATTGTAGCTCAATATTATGTAAATATAGCAATTCAAAGAAAATCAAAATTTTCAACAGTTTGTTCTGCAAACAATATACATTGCTGTACCATCACATTTAAAGTTCAAACAGCTTCTCTTATTAATCCAGTGAGGCATCATGTTATAGTTCATAACTATTGTATTTCACTCAATGTGAGAGCTTTGAATGTTTTGAATGGCAATAAAA